CACCAGTACTGTCCTCTGCGCCTGCAATACCCCCGGTGTATGGTGCAAAGTAAGGACTCAAAGGAATGAATTACTTAAGTCAAAGTACAGGGTCACACTTGTTTTCTCAAAGTATATGGAGTATAGGACAAGGATGGAGAAGGGGATCCCATTAGGCTTCCACAGCTTAATTAACATACCCTCTAAACTTATAGCAGCCATGAGAAAAGAGAACAGATTTAGAATCTTTCAGACCTGGTTGAATCTAAACTCCATACTTAGAAACCAACTGTGTGACCTTTCACAAGATATTTAATATCCCTGAGTCTGTATTATATTCTCTTCCACCAGGTGGCTACAATAATGGCTAAATCACATGATGTTTGAGAAGTATAATAAAACATCATATGTAAATTACTTAGCTCAGCACTGAACATAGTAGATGTCCAACACATGTTTAGGTTTTCCTCTCGACTCATCCTGGCACACTAACCTGTTGGCTTTTATTTTAATCCCGGTTCCTCTAGTAACCCAAGTAGGAAAAAAAATGTTTAACAACCTAATGAATTTTTTTCTCCTATTAATTTCATTGCATAGTGATTTACCAATTAAAGTTTGTGTTATTATTTGGTTTTGGAACTTGATGGTTAGAATCTAGAAGAAGGAACCATTCTAATATACAAAGAGTTTCTGTCTATACTGTGGTTCGGAGATGTGCATTCACCTTTTTAAAGACTGATCTTTGCTTTGGGAAAATCTTTAAATGGCCCTTTAACTGTGTGGATCTGAAGGAAGGTACACTATTATTGTTCCTGGTACTTCGAAATGACCATTGACCTGAATCCAGTGTTCAACACTGAGAGACATTTTGTTTGAAGAATTGAAACATTGCTAGAATCAACTGAGCCAAAGCCATTTGAGATTTCTTGCCTTTTTTGAGGGTTTTGAGGGAAGGGTACTGGGAATGTTTCTTAGCTCTGTGTAACTTTAGAGGGCATTGTACACACTGCTGCATGTAGTCTGGAGATTGCAAAAGAATCTAGATTGAATAACTAGCAAAAGATAGAAAGGAATGGTGCTTCCCAACAAAACAGTCCTCTTAGCAGAACAGAATCCTTGGAAAGAACTCAGCCTGGGCTTGACATAGTCCAACTTGGACCTGAGTATCAATTCTCCTAAATGATGTTATTAATTAATAATTAACTATTAACTCAGAATATACCGATATCAAACCTTTACACATCCTTGTGCATAGGAGTGGGATTTCTCTGAGGGAAGTGGATATTTCTCTGGTTAATTATTGAAGGAAGAAGAAGTAAATTCTGGGACAGGAACCAAGGACTTGGGAGTGGCGCTTAAACTTGAGCCACTGAGCAAAAGGCTTTTGCTCTCTCTGTGCCTCATAATAGCCTGACATAAACTATCCTACCAGTAATTCTTGGAATAGGGTCTCTTCTGGAGTCATGGCAGAGCACGGGAGCAGGCCATGAAGAACCACTATGTCCAGAGCAACAGCCAGGATCAACTGAAACAGTCATACAGTAGCTCTGAGAAAGATGCTGCCTGAGAACAGGAGAATTTATTTAAGAACACAAGCCAGACAGCACCAGGGGATGGCCTTGGCCTTGGGAAGGCTAAAGGCTCTTCATGCATAAACTGGAGGCTCAGTCAACATCCTTTGAGTAATAAAGGAAATCTAACCACATCATGTATTCATAGACTGCTTAGGCTTGGATATTTAGTCGACTCATGAATCACTTCCCTAACCATGCTCATTTGAACTGACTTGATTAAAATAGTTTCCAAACTAATTCTAAAGAGCAGAACCTGAACAAAATGGAAACCTTCTGTACCTAATCACCCAAATCTGGCATCCCATGTCAGCCCACCCAGTGAGCAAGCCTAGAGTTTTTGTGCTTGCTTTTAAAAGACTTTTCCCCCTGCGTTCTGCCTTTTAACACAAAGAACAAGAAAGGAGAAAAAAATATGTGGAGCCCAGTCCAGTCACGATTTTTATTCACCAGATACAAATTATTTCTGCATTATAAATTCAAACCTGAATTATGCATTAGAAGCAAAACTGGCCCTGTGTTTTATTCATAAGGGGAGATGGTGAGATCCCCCAACCCTAGCTCAGTTGGAAAGAAGGACATTTCTGCGAGGCTGTTCATCTTTTGCCTAATCACATTTGCAGACACCACCTCAGCAAAATAAAGCAGAAGAGAAAATCACTTTGGAGGCATACCTAATGCACAAGATAAACACAAGCTACTGGAAAGCTGGGTAGGATCAGAAACAAGGAGAGAAAAAAAGAAAGCACAGTACAGTTGGAACAGAAGGAGGGAACCACACACCAGTCAGCAGGGGAAATCACTGCATTTCTTTGAGGCAGGTGCACTGAACATGTTTGTGTATTAAATCATTACTGAGATTTCAAGAGCCTATATAAGGCAATGCCACAGATTGATTCGCATGCTATTTATAATTCCTTAACCATGTTTGATGTTTTGCAGTCAGAAAAAAAGATCATGGGAATAGTTCACTGAAAAAAAAACACAAAACATATTTATTTAGTTTTCTGCTGAATGAAGTGGCACAACTACCATTTATACTTTTCTCCAACACCATAAAAATGTCCCCATTTGTTATGCATGACACTGTATAAAAAACAGTAAGAAGACAATTCTTGCTTACCCCCTTGTGCAAGAGCAGAGGAAATGGGATGACAATCAGGCTCCCCACTAAACTTGTTCTGAGGTCCTATGCAAGACTCTGAGGGAGGAGACTATGGTAATGAACCTGTGAGCCTTCAGACTCACCCTTAGCAGCAGCCTCAAGACTGGGAACGAGATGCTCAAATTGCCCTTAAACCCTGTTTCTAATAAGCTTGGCCTGAGCTTCTTCACAAACTTTCTTGGAAATGGAAGTGAGAATGTAGAAGCCCTGCCTAGCACTCAGGAAGCTGGAGGCCTACCAGCTGACTCTGGCTCCAGCTCCCTTTGGAGCCCTGGCAGGAATTCCTGCCTTTAACAGGGGTGTGTCTGAAACAGGAGCCTCTGAAATTTCACAAAGCACTTCGTTCTCTACCACAGCTCTGCAAAGCTTGTGGGAGCTCTGCACTACAGGGTCATAGCTGCATTTTCCCATTGCTTCTGGACAGAGTTGAAGAATCCCTATAGTGGCAAATAATCCCCAATCTTCAACCACCACCTTTGCTTGTGGACTCAGACGAGTGAGTTACTTCTTCTGGAACTCTTTTCTCACTCACAAAATGGAGGGATTGTTCTGGGCTCTCTGAGGTTCCTCCCAACTTTGAAACCCTACCCCTCTAAGTTTTAGTATGAAATAAATCATGTCCAGGGCTGCTAAGAAGATAAAAGAGGTGATGAATATAAGTATGCTTTATTACTTACTATCCGAGTGCCAGGCATTTCCATGGGATGCATAGTCCATGATACAACAGAAAAGAGAAGCCACAGGGATCAGTTCTCCTTTAGGCTTCTCTCCAGATGCACCACATGTGGGAACCTCTAGTCAATTGTATTTGAGCTCCATCACACTTTTATTAAAGTTCTAGGTATGTCTGCACATAATTTGCATATCCACACAGTTATGCATTTTGCACCAGGTACTTGGCCATATTTTCCCCTGCATACTCTCATGCAGTAAGTTAGTACACTCGGGCATCACCAACTGCCTTAGAGGAGAGGTTGTCTTTGGGGGATTTCCATGACCAAACATTATGGGAAGGGTCACAAGGTATGTCTGCTAGCTCTGACTTCCATACCTTAACAAACACGACTAAAACAAATCTGCATGTGTGCCCACTTCCCAGATGAAGAGAGACAATGAAAAAATTGATACTCCAATAACATCATTCAGACAGATATTTGGAAATAGCCGGATATTTGATTTTATTCAGACAACCATTGTTGACAGGTTTTTTCACAGTATTTTGGCAAATGTTTTCAACCTCTTTCAAGACTAAGCCCCATGGAAATGACTGCACCGTTCCCAAGCTAAACCTTTTAAGAAGTAGCTCTTCACATTCAGTAATAGTCCGTTTTTTTCCTCTCTGGTTAATTCTGAGTTGTACTCAGAATGTCTTATTCTCCACTACATGCTGAAGTTGATTAACGCTGGTATGGTGCAACACTGTCCATCTTCTACCCAGAGGCTTGCTGAATTCTCAACCAGTTCAAAGTTTGCCCAATGGTTGCCAAAGCAGAAAGCGAGTATCCAAAAGTCCAAAGACTAGAGGTGAGCTTCCTGGGTTTTAATCCCAGATTGACCATTTAATTTTGGAAAAACTTTTGTCGGTATGCCTGCAAATATTTTATCTCCTCTATTTTGCCTTTTCACTATTTCTGAGTCTCTTGTCCTGATATTTGTTTCTACTTCTCTATAGCTTTGCTTGTTTCTCAATCTATCTTTTTATCCCATTGTGATGTTTTTAAGAGAATTTTATTTATTCAGCTGTATCAATTCTGTTATTCAACCATCCACTAATTCCCTTATTTCAACAATTATATTTTCAAAGTCAAAGTTTCGAATTGATTCTTCTTTACAATTGCTTGTTCCTGTGGCATTTTTCAGTAGTCTTCCATATCTCTGTGGTGATGTTAATTGCACTTATTTTGTACTTGTATTTATGTACTTGATCAGTTTTTGAGGTTTTTTTTAAGTGGTTAACATCTTTACTGCCTTGGAGGTGTTGGGGGGGCAGGTACTCAGGAGCTGTTGGTGGGGCAGGCAGCTTCCTCTTCACTATCACTGGCTTCTGGCTGCACAGGGTGGCACTGGCTCTGTGGACCTCAGCCAAGTACAGATCTGGGTGGTACGTGTTCTCCTAGGTCATATGCCTGAAGTTGAGGGTAGCCAGTGTGTTGTTGAAGGTGGTCTGCACCAGGAAGTCACAGGGTTTCACTGGCCAGATCTCTGCATCCTGACCACCACTACACCTCTGCCATAGCCCCAACTCCACGCCCACAGTCTTACAGTGAATCAGCCCATTGTAGCGAAGGAGTTGCAGCCTTCAGATGACTGGGGTTCATGCTGTATGACTGCTTATTCCTCTTGATCAGGAAGCCAGAGCAATTCCACTGGAGACCATCCATCACAGGTAGGCAGACATGGCGGCAGCTCCTCTCACTATAGTGGCCAAGAGGGAAAGAAGATTTTTAATTCTGCTTCCTCTGGGAGAATTTTGCCCATTTGTTGCCTTTTTTTTTTTTTCTTTTTTTCATTATGCTTGTACTCATCAAATCCCTGGCAATTTCCCCTATGATTTTATTTTGTTTCCTCTTAGGACTAACAATTGCTTTAGTTAGTGGTGTCTACCCAGAGAAGAAAACCTAGGATCTAGTTCCTGCCTTATGAGAATAGACTCAGGTCAAAGAGACTTTAGAATTGTAGGGGCGCCTGGGTGGCTCAGTCGGTTAAGAGGCCGACTTCGGCTCAGGTCATGATCTCGCGGTCCGTGAGTTCGACCCCGCGTCAGGCTCTGTGCTGACGGCTCAGAGCCTGGAGCCTGTTTCAGATTCTGTGTCTCCCTCTCTCTGACCCTCCCCCGTTCATGCTCTGTCTCTCTCTGTGTCAAAAATAAATAAACGCTAAAAAAAAAAATTTTTTTTTAAAAAAGAGACTTTAGAATTGTAATTTCAGTTCAGACATCCCCTGTTCTCCTCAGGCATCCTACCATTCTCCAAGGGAACCTCATAGTTACTCAACCAAGCGTCTGCTCTCTGTAGCCCTGATTTGTAGCGTACCATCTTCTGTGTCTGTGATAATGACCTTGCCCTTAGGGTAAGTAGGGAAATTCCCGGGCCTGCCAATCTCCTGTACTTATCTACTGACTTCCCCTCCCAGCTGGGCTCCTGAGCTATCCTAGGGTAACTAATCTTACTACGTCAGACTGGCTTTCTTGCCACAAGGTTGCAATGGGGTTGACAGAGATCCTTCCAGAGAAGGAAAGGAGTTACTACTAGGAAGTTGTTCCCAGCACCTCTCCCATTCATAGCCATGGCCCTCTCCCACCCCAGGCCACCATTCATGCAACTGTTATTCTTCCCATACAGAAATCAACCATCATTTATCTCGACAAGTTTCTTGATGGTTTGGTCACTTGACCATCACATAATTTGTGCTGAAATTCCTTAGATACATATTAAGACTTCATTAATGTGAACAATGCAAAAGTGGTCTTGAATTGTTGTTGCATCTTCTGGAAGGTTTCCTTACCTCCAGTCGCTGGCCCTACTCACCCACCTTTTCATGCTTGATATCACCAGCTAAGCCATTCTAACACATCACCTCCATCTGGGCATCTGCCCCTCAAAAATGTTTGCCCCTCAAAAAGGGCACTTTGCTGTATATGTCGTGAACTGAAAGTTTTGCAGGCTATCATTTCAAGCCCTCCCCCAGTGGGTCTCATCCTAATATCCCAGACTTTTTTTTTCTCCAGTCCCCCAAAACAAACTCATATAATTTTCCTTCCATTGTGGATTTCCTCTTCAGGACTATCCTTTTTTCTACATCCTACCCACATGCCACACAACTTTGTTCAGTAAATGGTTGCCTGAGTCTTCCCCATTGGGATTGCTCTTTCTGTCCCTTGGCTTCTAAAGCAAGGATTCAAACACTATTAATTGGGGACATATCATTGACTGCTCTTTAGTATTTTGAGATGTCCTCAATTAGATTATGCATTCCTAGAAGGTAGGAGTTTTTGTCCTGTCATGTACATCTCCCTTAGTCTTGAACATGGTGTTATGTACACACAAGGGAATCAATGGCTATTTTTCATTCATCAATTGATGGAGACCCTCAACAAATTCCACACGTCACATAATTTGGAAGCCCGTAGGCCAGATAGAGGTCAGATCATTTTTTTTCTCTCTGCTCTCTCAGCATTACACCCACTGCCAAGATACTTGAAGCGCTATGTAATTCTATCCTTGACATCAGAACAGCTTCACTTCTATCGAAATCTATGAATAAGTAATGCCTTCTCTCTGGCATCTCATAATGAGAACCCCAAATAATGATAATTCATTTGTTGTGCCCTGCACTAAAGAAAGCAGTGCCCTTCAGGAAGGTAGATGTGTTTTAAAGAAGGTAGACTGAGTGAAATGACCTTGCTTTATCCAAATTAGCAGACGGGAAGCAAACAGGAATTATCCCAGATGAGACTAAGCTTGCAATTTTTGCTCAGTAGCAGATAAGCTCTTGAACAAATCTAATTACTTGATATCTAATCTGCAAGCTTCCATAGGTCACCCTTCATTACTTGGGAGCATCTTAAATTTACAAGACAATTGGAAATGCTGAAGTCCTGAACATAGTGATTACTCACAAAATACTTTATTATAGGAAGTTTACTCCTGAGCAACTTGAACTTTTCTATTTACAATCCTGATCCCTGCAGTTTCAAAGTCAAAATACAACATCTACAACTTTTATGGGCCTCAAATACCAATACTTTGAACCATAGATTTGACTTCAAAATCATACATGTGAGAGTTTAAAATAGCCTTACTTGAAAAATCATAAACACACAATTGCATTAACCATTTCTATCTTGGACTTCTGGTATGTTCAGCCTTCTCAAATACACAGGGAGGAAAGTTGGAAAATGTTAATCACTGTTACGTAATAGGAAAGAAGGAATCATTTGGAGCTAAAGGGTCTAGATTAAAATCTTATTTTGACAATTTTCTAGCTGTATAACTTGGGACATATTCTTGAACTCTCAAGGATCTATTTTCCTTTTCTGTAAAATGTGAATAATAATGCCTATCTCACAGGATAGCTGGGAGAGATAAATTAAATAACAGATATGGAAATGATTAAATAGAGCACTTTGTAAACTAGAAATTATTGCACATATGTTGGTCACCATCATCACTTTTCTTCATTTAAAAAGTCATAATGTCAATGTATGCATGACCCTAAATTAGGTACCCTTAATAGGTCAGGAAAGAGTCCCATTAAAAAACATTTATTTTAATTAATATACTTTATAATTCATCAGAACACTGTCTCTAATACTCAAGGACACTGATTTTCCACTTACCCGTATAGTTCAAAACATTCAAAACACTTAGCCCCCAAGGAGATTGTCTAGAAATCTTGACATGGTCACCTAAGAATAATTAAATAAATGAGCAGTAGAAGCCACAGCAGCAGTAGCTAGAGGCTTCCTGAATGTTGCCAAGTAGCAGGCTTTTGATGTGTAAATTTACTCTAGACTTTCCTTGTCAGGTTCATTGATACTTCAAGAGAAAGACCTCTTACTTTATGCAGAAACCACTTCAAAATTATCTCAGAAAGGCGAGAATGGTACATATTTTTTCAAGTGTAGGAGGAAATAAATCTTGCATCCTCACTGATCCTGCTAAGCAATCCACGTTTTTTTATAGGGAATCTGCTTTGCAAAACTTCTTTAAGAAAGAAATTCCTATGAAAGAATAAAAAAGTTATATTTCAAAAAAGGAGAATAAAAGAACAAAAGCTATGTATTCTGCGTGTAGAGTAACTTTATATGCAGAAACTTAGGAACAATTCCATTCCCTTTGCATACTTAGATGATTTGGACTTCCCTAATAAGCTGCTATGAGTTATTTCTAAATTACTATCTGATAAAGAGAAGTAAAAAAACATATTTTCCACTGTCTCATTTGATGTCAAAAGTGAAAGTAAGCAAATTAAAGACATAAAGTAAAATTATAGATTATGGTTAGGTATCTCCAATGGTCCGATGGGTTGTTCCAAGGTATATTTTATTTAATTCTCCTGGATGCTACTGAGCTGTTAAAACCAAAATTGTGCATTAAATTATGTTTCTTTCTATGTCCACCATCAGAATTCAAGTAATAATAATTCATAGTAAGAGTTACAATTTGTCATTTATAATGAGCCAGACAGTATGTTAATATACTTTTTTTTAATGTTTATTTATCTTTGAGAGAGAGAAAGAGAGACAGTACAAGCAGGGGAGAAATAGAGAGAGAGAGAGAGAGAGAGATACAGAATGAGAAGCAGGCTGCAGGCTCTGAGCTGTCAGCACACAGCCCAACGTGGGACTTGAACCCATGAACTATGAGATCATGACCTAAGCTGAAGTCAGAAGCTTAACTGACTGAGCCCCCCGGGCATCCCTGTTAACATACTTTCTAGTATGGAAAATTAAGTGATGTGCCTAAGATCACACATCCAATAAGTGGAAGATTCCAAGTCATGTTGGTAACAATGCAAACAACCTGTACACATGCTACTATGCATGAAGAAAGTGCTTAGATATTCACTGATTGTGGTTTGATGGAATACAATGGAAGTATACTTATTTATAAAAAGTCACCTGCCACATGGCTTCATTTTTATAGACTTGAGTTAAAAACCTGCCAAAATTGAAGCTTTATTGCATGTAGAGTATTTGATTAAATACTTCCAGATAGTCAAACTAAACCTAGAATAGGAGACTTGAACCTAGATCTATTTCTAATAAGTAATTTCTTTTCTAACATCATTTTACTTTTGAACAGATAGATTACGTAAGGGACTGGTACATGAAACAAGGTACTAAGAAAATCTAGTTTTAATATGCAATGATTAAAAGGTGAAATAGCCCTAACCATGAATTCCCTCACAGCTTTAGCTATGCCCTGAACATTACATTTATACTGTAATTTTGTTTCATTTTGGTTTAAAGAAAGAAGCTTTTATGGGCAATGCCTATTGAGCTACTGTGGTCAAATATTTATTAAAAAGAGGATATTGATTTGCAGATTATAACTGACCACATATGAACCCTTCTTTCTAGTGACATTCTTATTTAAGGTATTGATTAAAGGCTTTTCATACAGAAAGCATTTTTCTTGTCAGTTCAGTTATGCTGGCTTTTGTAATAAGCTAATTTGATTTCCTTTTTTAACCTTTGTTTGATTAGGGGAACAGACATTTGCATTAAAATTCAAGAGAGATGAAGTCTATCATCGATCTTGACTTCCTCATGGACCTCTTGTACTCAGCGAAAGATGATTTAGAGAATGTCAAGAGTCTTGGAACAACCATAATGAGAGAGGGAAAAAAAAATCACTTCAGACTTACAAACCAGTAAGGGCT